ACTCTGTCACCCAGGCTGGAGTGCAGTGGTGCAATCTCAGGTCACTACAACCTCTGCATCCTGGGCTCAAGCAATTCTCCTGCCTCAGCCTCCCAAGTAGCCAGGATTACAGGCACCTGCCATCACACCCAGCTAATTTTTGTATTTTAGTAGAGACAGGGTTTCACCATGTTGGACAGGCTGGTCTTGAACTCCTGACCTCAGGCAATCTGCCTGCCTCAGCCTTTCAAAGTGCTGAGATTACAGGTGTGAGCCACAGTGCCTGGCCATTTTTAAATAACTGTATATATTTTTTCATATCTCTCTACATATTTTGTATCTATAAATTATAAATATAATAAATTATTAACATAATATATAGCTGCACATTAAATAATATAAATTATATTATATATTTTATTATTATATTAATATTAAATACATATAAATACATGTTGGGAAAAAAAGTAGACAGCTTTTCCTAAAGCTTGTCTGAGAGTGTGTCTGAGACGGTGATGCAGGTTGGATCTGTGTCCTCCCCAAATTTCACACTGCATTGTAACCCCCAGTGTTGGAGGTGGGGCCTGCTGGGAGGCAATTGGCTCATGAAGGCAGAATTCTCGGGAATGGTTTGCACTACTGCTCAGGACTGTCCTGGGTGGGACTGAGTGAGCCCTCGGCAGATCTGCTCCTGTGAAAGTGTGTGGCGCCTCCCCCTTCACTCTCTCTTGCCCCTGCCCCCACCATGTGAGACACCCGCCCCCACCATGTGAGACACCCGCCCCTGTCCTTTGCCTTCCACCATGATTGGGAGTTTCCTAGGACCTCCCAGGAAGGCTATGCTTCCTGTACAGCCTGTAGATCTGTGAGCCAATTAAACCTTGATTCTTATCAATTACGTAGGTTTTTTTTATAGCAAAATGGACTAATACAGTTAGTGTAACTGAAATCAAGGTTGACTGGCAGGCTTCTGCAAACCACGGTCCACGGGCTGCCCTGGTCTACACCGGTGAACTAAGAACAGCTTTTACATGAATAGAAGGAAATGATTTAGATGATTAAAAGGAAATCAGAAGAACAATAATACTTTGTAACTCAAGAGAACAATATGAAATTCTATGATGTGATCTGTTTTCAGGAGAAAAAAAAAGAAATTCAAATCCATAAAGTTGGACTGGACACAGCATGCCTGTTCAAAATGTATTACCTGGGGGATACTTTCCTGCAGCAATGGTAGGGTGAGTCATTGCACAGAAATTGTCCAAACCCCTAAAATATTTACTATCTGGATCTGCAAAGATGTGGCTTATCAGCCTCTGCTACATAATGTACAAAAATCCACAGCTGAGGGGTGGGATCAAATCAAAAAGATGGCAGACATCCTCCACAGAAGCTGAAAATTAAGTACAGGAAGAAGCCCACGTGACCACAATCTAGAAGATGTCCTGTGTATTAAGATGCCAAAGAGAAAGAACACAGGCCAGGTGCGGTGGCTCATGCCTGTAAGCCCAACACTTTGGGAGGCCACGGTGGGCAGACTGCTTGAACTCAGGAGTCTGAGACCAGCCTGGGCAGGCAACATGGTAAAACTTCATCTCTACAAAAAAAAATACAAAAAATTGGCCAAACATGGTGGCCCACACCTGTAGGCCCAGCTACCCAGGAGGTTGAGGCAGGAGGATCACTTAAACCCAGAAGGTCGAGGGCACAGTGAGCTGTGATCGTGCCACTGCACTCCAGCCCAAGCAACACAGCTAGACCTTGTCTCAAAAAAAGAAAAGAAAAAGGAGGAACACAAAAGGTAGCTTAATATGAGCACTAATGCAAGGACAACAGGAAGACCCTCTAATTTGCAGGCATGGGTCTAAAATCGAGCCGCTTCTCAAACAGGCAACTCTACGTGGCCTGCTGCATGGCGGCAGCAGCCTGATCTAACGCTCCTCCTGGATGGGATCAGGGAGGGCAGCCAGTCTAGGATTAAAACATCAAATACAAAAGGAGCCAATTCCAGCAAGAGCAACATACCTCCTGTCCTTGATCACTGTCCAGTATCTCCTGTACCTCTTGAAATCGGAGGATGGTGTGCTTAATCCGAAAGAACAAAGATCGTTCCCAGTATATTGCGCCTGCTACTGGAGGGTGATTCTTACACAGTGGTGGGTTTTCAAGATTCTGGACAAAGATTTTATTAATGATGTCAATCTGAAAAGCAATCAAACGTCTTCTGTAAGTGATAAACATTGCCAAGTTAGCCAAGAAAGATTTGAGATTTGAATCTTTAAGGAAACCAAAAGTGGAATGTCAAGAAATATTCTAAGATGCTGAGTAGTGTTTTCACTGCTTTTTACTACCTTTTTCTTATGCTCTGTAGTAATCTTTTTTGTTGTTGTTGTTAAGACAGAGTTTCGCTCTGTTGCCCAGCCTGGAGTGCAGTGGCATGACCTCGGCTCACTGCAACCTCTACCTCCCAGGTTCAAGTGATTCTCATCTTGCCTCAGCCTCCCAAATAGCTGGGATTACCGGTGTGCACCACTGCACCTGGCTAATTTCTGTATTTTTAGTAGAGATGAGGTTTCGCTGTGTTGACCAGGCTCAGGTGATCCACCCGCCTCAGCCTCCCAAAAGTTCTGGGATTACAGGTGTGAGCCACCGAACCCGACTGTAGTAATCTTTTCTTTGAGTTAACATATGCAATGCTCCAAACTGCCTTATAATTACAGATCATGCACACTGTGTATATTGGTTTGATCCAATTATTAGAAATCCCAAAATCTGTTCTAGACAGGACCAGGGGCACACTTTTTTTTTCAATTTTTAGTTTTTAATTTTTGTGGGTACCTAAGGTATATATATTTATGGGTATATAGGATGTTTTAATATAAACATGCTATGCACGATAACCACATCGTAGAGAATGGTGTATCTGTCCCCTTAAGCACTTATCCTTTGTGTTATAAACAATCCAATTATACTTTTAGTTACTTGTAAAGGTACAATTAAGTTATTATTGACTACAGTCTCCAGATCTGTGTTTTTTAAAAGAAGCATTTCTGAGTTTTCATGGGGGTAATTAGGTGTGGCAGGCACAATGACGGCCTCCCAAAGATGTCCAGGTCCTAATCCCCAGAAGCTGAGAATATGTAATGTTACATGACAAAGGGGAACCATGGTTGCAGATGGAATTAACATCAGTCAGCTGATCTTAATATAGAGAAATTATCCTGAATGTTCTGGGGAGGTCCTATGTAATCCCAAGGGGTCCTAAAACAGGAAGAGGGAGGCAGAAAAGAGGTCGGAGTGGTTTTATGGGAAAGTGGCCATTTCTGGCTTTGAAGATGAAAGGGAGCCAGGAACTTCTAGAATTTGGGGTAAGCAAAGCACTGAATCATCCCTAGAGACTCCCAAAGGGAATACAGCCTGCTGACACCTCGATTTAAACCCAGGAACACCTGTGGCAAACTTCTGATCTCCGGTACCAGAAGAGATGAAATCCGTGTTGTTCTAAGTCACTATATACAGCAGCACTGGGAAACTAAGACAACAGGAGACCACTTTAGGCCTTTTTTTAATATTACCTTATGCTCATCTAATCATTCCAGATATTCTCATTTTGTCTTCTAAAAAAGGTTATAAGCATTTTTTTAGACAAATTTTCACTCTTGTTGCCCAGGCTGGAGTGCAATGGCACAATCTCAGCTCACTGCAACCTCTGCCTCCCCGGTTCAAGCGATTCTCCTGCCTCAGCCTCCCAAGTAACTGGGATTACAGGCACCCACCACCATGCCTGGCTAATTTTTGCATTTTTAGTAGAGATGGGGTTTTGCCATGTTGTCAAGGCTGGTCTCAAACTCCTGATCTCAGGTGATCCACCTACCTCAGCCTCCCAAAGTCCTGGGATTCCAGGCATGAGCCACTGGGCCCAGCCAGCATTTTTTTGTTTTTAGATAGGGTGAAATTCTGTTGCCCAGGCCGAAGTACAGTGGCACTGCAGCCTCGACCTCCCTTGGCTCAGGTGATCCTCCCACCTCAGCCTCCCACGCAGCTGAAACTATAGGTAGACGCCACCACACCTGGATAATTTTTGTATTTTTTTGTAGAGATGGGGTTTTGCTATGTTGCCCAGGCTGGTCTCAAACTCCTAAACTCAAGTGATCCACTGGCTTCAGCCTCCCAAAGTTCTAGGATTACAGGCATGAGTCACAAATGCCCAATAAGCATTTTTTGGTCTATTTCTCCAACTAGATACTGACATCTTTAAATGCAGAATCTGTGTTTTGTTCATCTCTCTATCTCTGTGCCTAACACTATACTTGAGATATGACAGCACCAGGTGAATTGTTCTGAATTGATCATAAATACATGTACGATCCTTGGCTATGGTTAGACTATGATCACTATTATTACCATCTCACACAGGGCTCACCACAATGTGAGTAAATAAGAATATACTGAATTCTTATTGAATTTCTCCACTAAATAAACAAACCCACTTTGTTTAGGTTCCCTGTAGTATGTGACATGCTGATGTGGGGAAACTCTAGTATCTCTGAATTCAGATGGGAAAGACAGACAATAGTGAGATTCAATTGTTCACATTTTGCCAAGTGTATTTTTAATGTTAGGGCAGCTTTCGATTTTCCAATTACCTCTTTACAGTACTGTGCAAGAATATCATTAAATTTCATCATCATTTGTCGATTCACGGCCTCCCGTGAACGGATGTGCTTAAATTTTAAAAGCATGTCAAATGCTGCTTCAGCGGATCGAAGCGTCTTAAAAGATTCGTCAATAAAATTTTTTGCTTCTTTCTCAATAACCTGCAAAAAAAATCAAGAAAACAAGCCTCATGTCCCTGTAATTATCCTGCAAAAACAAAGTGGCAAGAAATGAGAAAAAAAAAAAATCAGCGGCTTGGGACGCTTTTCTGCTGCATGTTAATGGAAGCTGGAATCCAATTTAAAGTGGCAGATTGGCTATGCTGATTTCCTGATCTCTCTCCCCAACCAGTTCAAAGGTAAAGGAATTTTTTAAGCATTAACTCTTATAAACAAAAAATAAGGTAGAAGACACAACAACAGAGGAGATAGTTGAGGAATTTTTAGTAGGGAAGTAACTAAGGCAGGGAGTTACAACATAATGCTGGAAATAGCGGACACAAGTGAGCCCCTGTTTGTTCCTTGAAGAAACTCCAGAAGGCCAAGCATTTGGAGGCTCTGGAGCCCAGGAAGCAGGTCAGTGTGCGTGAAGGTGAGGAGCAAACAGGGTATCCCTTTCTAACCCTGCACAGTCAGACCTCAATCTATTATGCTCAAGTATGCAGCCTCAATCCCACCCATCCCCACTCCTTTCTATAAAAGAGTGGAAGGTTAGTTCCAGAAAAATTAACTCAGTGTCAGACTTCAAATACTGGAATCTAGAAATCAATAAAAAATATCTTCCCATTTCCAAAGAAAAGTTATTTTCAACTTTGAATTCTATACCTGTTATTTCAGAATTCATACATACAAGACTCAAAAAATATACGTCCCATGAACCCTTACTTAGGAAGCTACTAAATGTGCTCCAGCAAAACAAAGGAGTAAACAACGAAAGAGGAAAAAGTGAGATCTAGAAAACAGAAAATCCAACACAGATGAGAGAAGGCAGGAAGTCCTAGGGTCCTGGACTGCTTTGTAACAGGCCTAAAAAACAAACAAGCTAGACTAGAGTAGGACAGTGAGCTCTGGGAGGAAGGCCTCTAGGTAAATAATGGCACTGATATGTTTGAGTATTTAGAGCCTACTATTGATAGGCATGTGGCAGAAGATATTAAAGAAGTTGGGGAAAAAAATTAACAATGGGTACATACATAACCAAGCAAATAAAAAACAAAAGCAATTATTAACTCCAGGAAAACTGAAAGGTTGGCCAAGAAAGATGGTGTAGTCATGATAGACTTCTCAGCTCAGCAATGAACAATATTTGCATAAACATAATGAGTAAACACTAGCCATTAATTTAACTAAAAGCTATGAAGAAGTTGTGTTAGATGACAGAGAGGCAAATGGGATTAGGAATGGGACAGTCCAGTCTACATCTTCTCTGAGAAGTTAACAGAAGTCTAAACTAATAAATCAGGAAATAAACACATCAGCTTCTTCTTTAAAAAATTTGGAGGTTAACAACAAAAGAAACATCTAAAATTGTGGAAAATGACAGCAAGAATGAGGAAGTAGTTAATGGAGCTGTCTTTTCTTATTATGAACTCTTTAGTATCACTTGATTAAGTGACTTTGATGAAAAGCTCAATTTATTTGGGAAGCTGAGGCGGCTTGAGGCCAGGAGTTCAAGACCAAAAGACCAACCAGGGCAACACAGTGAGACCTCATCTCTATTTAAAAATTTTGGCCAGGCACAGTGGCTCACATCTGTAATCCTGGCACTTTGGGAGGCCAAGGCAGGTGGATCACCTGAGGTCGAGAGTTCAAGGCCAGCCTGAAAACACAGAAACCCCATCTCTACTAAAAATACAAAATTAGCTGGCCATGGTGGTGCATGCCTGTAATCCCAGCTACAGGAGAAGCTGAGGAAGGAGAATCACTCAAACTTGGGAGGTAGAGGTTGTGGTGAGCCGAGATCATGCCACTGCACTCCAGCCTGGGAAATAAGAACAAAACTCCACCTCAAAAAAAAATTTCTTTTTAATTAACCCGGCACACACTGTGGTCCCAACTAATTGGGAGGCTGAGGTGGAAGATCACTTGAGCCCAGAAGGTCAAGGGTGCAGTGAGCCAGGATCACACCACTGCACTCCAGCCCAGGCAACAGAGCAAGACCCTGTCTCTAAAAAATAAAAAATAACAAAAGAAAACCAAAAAAAGTTCAACTGAAAAAGGAAGTAACACTGAAAATAGCAGCTGATAATAAATCAGATACAGTTAATATGACAATGTCTATATAGCCAACTAGAAGGGTGTAAGGTTGTCCATATAAAAAGTTGCTCTGAGGTTATAAAAACTGTGTAAGACATAAATGGGGGTGCTCCTAATTATGCTTCCTACAGAAGTCCGAAAGGTGAGCGTGATGGGTCACTCTTCACATGCTGGGGGAAGTGCAATCTCCTTCTCAGCAGCCGCCCCTCTCTGACAGACTCTGCCCCCCCTCAACTGCAGGCTATCACCTCCTGTGTCACCTCCTGTGTTGCCTCCTGTGTCACCTCCCTGCTCCCTGTTGTTCCCCAGCTCAAAGCAGCCTATGCTGTGGCCAGAAAAGCCTTCCTGAAGTATAAACCTTGGTTTTTTCTTGTTTTTTGTTTGTTTGTTTGTTTGTTTGTTTTGAGACAGAGTCTTACTCTGTCCCCCAGGCTGGAGTACAGTGGTGTGATCTCAGCTCACTGCGACCTCAGCCTCCCAAGTTCAAGGGATCCTCCCACCTCAGCTCCTGAGTAGCTGGAACTACAAGCAGGAGCCACCATGCCTGGCTAATTTTAAGTTTTTTTATAGAGCTGGGTGTCTCACTAGGTTGCCCAGGCTGGTCTCAAACTCCCGGCTTCAATCGTCTCTCTTTGGCCTCCCAAAGTGCTGGGATAACAGGCACGAGCCGCTACACCTGCCTATAATTCTGACTCATTCCTTGGTCAACCACCTTTAATGGCTCCCTATTGCCTGCTGAAGTCAGTCCCCTTCCTCAATCTAGCCCTCCTTGGTCATCACCAATTATTCACCAACCCTCCTTCCCAGCTTGATTTTCCTCTACTACCTGCACGTGTTATGCCAGACTCCTCTGCTGGCTCTGCCTCGGACAATTCCTCTTTTTTTCCTGTCTGCCACCTTTGTTCACACTATTCCTCCCACCTGAAACACCCTCGATGTCTCAGCCTCCTTCCTTGTCCCCATCTCCCCCATCCAAAGCTTCCCCAATCCCAAAGGTTACTTCCAATTGGCTCTCCATGCCCCCAGCCTTCTGACAAAACACAGTTATCAAAACCCACAGGGCACTTTGTGATTCTCTTGCCGTATCTGGTTTATTTTTCCCTTGACTCCTAGGTAGGTGAGCTTATACTGGACAAAACAAACTTTGTAGAAATGCTACTGTGTCTAGCTCAACTTAAACTTATCCCTCCTGGAGAGTGGGTGTTGGAACAAAGAAGATGGAGGAACGTTCATTTTTACCTTGTACACTTTTGTATACTTTTTGGTTTTTACAGTTAATAAGCAGGTATTACTTGTGATTTAAAAAAAAAGACTCTAAGCATCACTAAATAATGCAACAAATTTAACACAGAGAAAACATGGTGTCGACTCTCAAGATGAAATCAACAGATGTGTCACTTGCCAGAACTTCAATCTTGAATTCATCCATCACGTATTTCCAGAACTGGGAGGACTTGATGCTGAACGGGTCAAAGGTCAGGTTTTCCATGGGGGTGACTAGGCCGTCCACCCTGCACAGGACATCATCGATGCGCTTGGGGTCCCCCGTCACTGCCTTTAGCTCTGGACCAAATATGTTATAAAATTCCTCTAAAACCTGTCCAATCAAACAACAATGAGGAGATGACATGTGGGTTTTCCCATGAATATTAGAGCTACAAATGGAGAGCATATCTAGATTGACCTGGGGGCAAGAATCATGCCACACAGCAATCTCCTCCCTGACTAAGCCCTCCCCTCCTATACCCATGGCACACAGGATAAGACCCAGGTCTGCACCTGCCTGCTCCTCCCTGCATTGCAGCCACCCCCACCCTCCTCCTCCCTTTCTGCCTCAGGGCCTTTGCACTTGCGGTTGAAAGTGCTTCAGAGTGGCTGAGGTGGGCGGATCACTTGAGGCCAGGAGTTCAAGACCAGCTTGGCCAACATGGTGAAACCCCGTCTCTGCTAAAAATACAAAAATTAGCCGGGTGTGGTGGTGCACGCCTATAATCCCAGCTACTTGGGAGGCTGAAGCATGAGAATCACCTGAACGTTGAAGGCAGAGGTTACAGTGAGCCAAAATTGTGCCACTGCATTCCAGCCTGGGTAACAGAGCAGGACTCTGTCCCAAAAATAAAAATAAAAAAAAAAAAGGTTCGATGATAAAGCACTGAGGTAGTTCTGTGCAGCGTTTCCACTGTTCCGGTAACAATGAAATACTCAGGGATGCAGTAGCTATGGTGATTCCACAAAGAAGTTAAATTTGGGGTTTGTTCGTTCGTTCGCTTGTTTTGAGACGGAGACTCGCTCCGTCGCTCAGGCTGGAGTGTGATGGCACAACCACCGCTCACGGCGACCTCCACCTCCCTGGGCTCAAGCAATTCTCCTGCCTCAGCTCCCCAAGCAGCTGGGATTACAGGCGCGCACCACCAAGCCCAGCTAATGTTCGTATTTTTTATAGCTGGATCTTGCTATGTTGCCCAGGCTGGTCTCAAATTCCTGGGCTCAAGGGACCCTCCCACCCCAGCCTCACAAGGTGTTGGGATTACAGGTGTGAGCCATCAGGCCTAGCCCGGTTGAGTTCTTTTCACAGCATGTTTTTTTCCTGCCCTTGAGCACCGGGCATCGCCTCCTTCTCTCATGCCGGGCACTGCTACACCACAGCCAGCGCTGGTTTGCCCTCACTGTGGTCCCTCTAGCAGAAAGACATGTGAGTGCCCAGCACACCCTGAGTTCTCCATGAAGTATTTAGAATGAAGGGGTGGGAAGACCTTTAGGAGACAAGGGCTGTGGCTAACTCAATCAGCAACTAAGCACTTTGTCCACCCATGGAGCTCCGGGCAGACTGGGCCTGGCTTAGGGAGAGCGTGAAGCGAGGTCTCAGACTGGCCTCTGAGGGATTGCAGCGTTTAAGGGGAAGGCAGAGGCGGGGAACTTTGCAAAAGACACGGAGGAAGATTGGCCAAAGAGGTCAAAGGAAAGCCAAAAGACAGGGAGAGGGGAGCATGTCAGGGAAAGCAACGAAAACTCGCAAAGCTCTGGTATACTCTGGTACATTCTGGCACATTCTAGCATATTCTGTATGTTCTTCCGTTGAAGGGCCTCTCCCTGCCAGGCCTTCACTGACGCCCAGCTCCTGTCTGACACAGAGGGGGGCACTGTCAAAAGCCAGCTGCCTTCCAGGCGGCAAATTCTGGGGCCTCGCGCGGCCCCTACCTGCAGAACGTCGCAGAGGTCCTGGCAGATGGCGGCCATGTAATCCGTCCTCTCGAACAGCCGCTTCCGGTCAAACTCCCACCGCGCTTCCCTCCCGGAAGCCTCGATCTTGGCCCGGGTGTCGAAATAGGCCTTTTTCCACAGCTTGAGAGTGTTCCTAGCGTCCGAGGTTTTGTTTTGGGCACTCGCCCGACTTTCTCTGCGAAGCCAAGAGAGGCCATGACGGGAGGAGGGCGGAGCGCCGGGTCCGAGCCGCCTCCCCGGTGGGGGAGCCGCTGACCTGGAAACTCTGGCCCGGGCGCCCCCCTGGTTTCACGGCCTCATCGGAACAGGCGGAGGGCGGCTGCCCGGCCCCACGTGCAAGGGCGGGAGTCCCAGGCTGCGGCCGGCCGAGGTCTCCAGAGCGGCCGCCACTCAGCGCGCAGGGCCGAGGCCACCTGGTGACCTCGCTGTCTGCACCAGAAGGGGCAGGAGGCCGTGGCCCCAGGACAGAGGTCACCAGAGGCAGCTGCAACACCTGCACAGGACAATGCCTCCACTTCGGTACCTATTCACCTATGCAGTCAGAGAGATATGGAGATCTACCTGTACAGATAGATGCAGATAGAGATACATAGACAGACAGATAGATTAGATAGATAGATAGATAGATAGGTAGAGATGGAGATCACCTATCTAGATAGACACAGATATAGATAGATATAAATATCTACATACAGATATTTATCTATGTAAATAGATGTAGATATCCATAGATAGTGTATGATTCCATTCATATGCTATCCATATAGACATAGATACCTCTCTGTACAGATGGATAGACACAGATATCTATCTGTATATAGATATAGATTTTTATCTAGCTACATATAGATAGATCTAGATAGATATTTAGATATAGACATATAGTTTTTTTTTTTTTTTTTTTT